GTCTTAGGAGCTCTCTAGAAGCGTGCCCTAAGACCAAGGTGAGAGTTCACGAAAGAAATCTGCCTCACCCGCTCAGTTTAGGTCTTAGGAGCTCTCTAGAAGCGTGCCCTAAGACCAAGGTGAGAGTTCACGAAAGAAATCTGCCTCACCCGCTCGGTTTAGGTCTTAGGAGCTCTCTAGAAGCGTGCCCTAAGACCAAGGTGAGAGTTCACGAAAGAAATCTGCCTCACCTACTTGGTTTAGGTCTTAGGAGCTCTCTAGAAGCGTGCCCTAAGACCAAGGTGAGAGTTCACGAAAGAAATCTGCCTCACCCGCTCGGTTTAGATCTTAGGAGCTCTCTAGAAGCGTGCCCTAAGACCAAGGTGAGAGCTCACGAAGAGACTGCCTCACCGAGTTGAAAAATGTTCTGTGCCGATCGGTTTGCTCAAGGTTGGCCAAGTAGTTTGTATATAGTCTTGTCATCTGCATCGAAGAAAAAAAAACAACACACAAATTTCGAACGGTCAGAAATATGTAGCTGAATTTAGTTTGAGTTGAGACCGGACGTGACCGCTCGGTCAAAAATGTGGAGGTCGGACGTGACCGCTCGGTCAAAAATGTTGAGGCCGGACGTGACCGTTCGGTCAAGAATGTTGAGGCCGGACGTGACCGCTCGATCGAAAATGTGGAGGCCGGACGTGACCGCTCGATCGAAAATGTTGAGGCCGGACGACCGAGCGGGTGAGACTGTTCAGTCTTGATGTAACTTCTTTAGAGTCTTGTGACCTGCAAGATAATATCAAGAATATAGAGGTGACCGGTCGGTCGAAATGTGACTGCTTTAGAGTCTTAGAATCTTGTGACCTGCAAGATATAATGAAAATATAATTTATATTTAAATAAAAACGTCCATTTGATCACCGCTGTGTATCCGAGTCGAAACTTAAATTTGAATTTACATGGTGTATCCGGAGAACTTTTTCGATTCTATCTCTCATGTTGCCCGATAATAAATCATGTGACTTGAACCGACTTTAGCAGTTGCATAATCGTGAGGCGCTGCCCGACGGCCTTTGGCTTGGGGAATGCCGCGAGTGTTGCAAATGATGCGGAGGTTGGTCCGAACGGTGCGACTGCTATCGCGGGTGTTGGTGACCAGACCGAACGGCGCAGCTGTCATCGCCAACGGCGGGCTGGTCTCGTCGAAGGAAAATGGCTGCCGCGTATTATGAAGAATGAAACCCTGGGTTTCCCTGCTTTTCGCGTTTCACACGGGTCAAACCATGAAGAGGACGACTTTGATGATTGTTGCATCTGAAGTTTTCTTATTTTTGTGATTCATTTTTGTAACCAGGGGATTTAACAGATGGTTTCCGATTTGGGGAATTTCTCGGTGAAGAATTGCTATTGTGTTCTTGATCCTATTTGGGGTTTCCTGTGTATTCATGGCGGAGGGTTTCTTGAAATTGGGAATTCTCTCTCTGCCCTTGAGAGCATCCTTCGTGACTAAGGCGGCATCAACGACGGGACGAACGAATCTGTCAGCAAGAGGCGCGAAACGCGTGGAGTACCGGCTCACGACCCTGCTATTGAGAGGGGTGCTAGCGGTGGCATCAATGGCTGCCATGGTGATGGTAAGTCTCACCCAAAAGAGTTGTGTTTTGTATTTTGTATCCGAACGGTGCGATCGTTTGACAAGGTTACCGCTATGCGCAACCCCAACGGAACGGAATCTGACATCAGTGATGAAAGGTTAGGTGCTTGGGTACAGACTGTCCGACGATAGAGTAGCGGACGTGGCCGATGGCGAGGTCGCCGTTGATGCTTACAATGTCGTGCTCCTGGTGAATTTTCTCATTACCCTACGCTTCCTCGAAAGACGTTTGTTGGATACGGTGGTCCTATAAAAGCCATAAATGCTTGGCCAGTGTTTGCACTGAAGGGACTTTCCAAATGGCGAGTCAGTAAAATGATGATACATTCTTACATGGAAGTAACAAATTTCCATATTTTTCCAAAAATTCTATTTCTTCAAAATATTATATATTATTATCTTCAGAATTAACTGATAAATAAGAAAAGAGAACTTGTATAACCAAAACCATTCGAGACAGGTTGGTCGGCTAATTGTCGCAATTGTTGATCATGAAGAAATTATGGCATTTCTAATGGTATTGGATTATGAACCAAACTATGCTATATGTTAATGCTTGAAACCAAAAATTGTCATCTCTCAATAAATGCTTGAAAGAAGAAATAGTTCTTTTCTTTATCATTATGACCTTTCCTGAAAGTTTCTTAATTAAAAAGACATATATTTAGAAGTTATTTTTATAGTCTTTTATTCTTGTTGTAAAACCTTTCATAGAAAATCACATATTGTCGTAAAACGAATTAAGAAATAAAATCAACCATGATATTTTTAATTAATCAACATGTTTAACCTCCACACAGAAGCCACGTCATGGGACGAAAAGTAATTTCTTTTTATTCAGAGATGAATGTATCATGAAAGTGGTTATCTTTTCAATATTCAATATTTTATAATATATTTTTATAACGAAAATCTTATTCATAATTTGAGAAGAAAGTGCTTATCTTTTCAAGGGCTTCCCTGCAAAAACTTAGGGGACCTCTGACACGTATCTCGTTGGTGGAATTTGACAAGTGCTCATCTTATAACCAAATTTTCTAGTGTTGATCCTCGAGACCGAGGGCGCGTCTGGTTTCTCGTGGTTTCATGGAAATGTCGTTCGGTTCCATGGTGGGTGTCAAAATGTTTCAGCAGGATTTAGAACCCTAATCCAAAACATTCAAGGTTGTCTGCTCTGATGTCCAGTTGTGCTGTCTTCTCTCTTCTCCTTGTCCAAGTCACAGGGGAGGGTGCCTGCAAAAGACACTCCGACGCTCAAGTCAGTGACTTCGCGTAATAATCTTGTAATCAAGATTTTGTTATGAGATCCCTGTACCCTTTGCCAGACTAATATTTATAAATTATAATGAGCTTACCATTAAGTCTGACTCATTAACCACCAATGAATGACAATATTAATTGTCAATAAATGACAATTATTTTCATTAACTCCCCGACAGTTATTACTATTAATTATCTTAACGACTGATTTCACCGATCGGTTTACTGACCTGAAAGGTATCATCGGTCGGGCTGATTTTATTGATCGGTTCATTGACCTGAGAGGTATCATCAGTCGGACTGATTTTACCGATCGGTTCATTGACCTGAGAGTTATCATCGGTCGGACGACTCTTCTGCACTTTTACCGTTCGGTCGGCTATGAGCCCATAGTAACAATAATTTATCCAAATTAAGTTTTATTTTTAATTTACACAACTAATTTTAACTCTTAAAAAAATATTTATTTATTTTCTGAAAGTCATTATAAAAGAGCTGCTCCAAACATGTAATATCATCGGTAACAAAATTGGATAGTGCACTAGTTGGATAAAAAAGAACAAATGGGGTTGTGGGCATCCCTTATTCCTTGTCACTCAATATGAAGAACCCTTACATAAAACCCTAAATATTATTTTTTTTAATCATACTCAGAGTTTCGTGTTAATAGTATACAATTTATTTAATATTTCATATCAAACACTGCCATTGTTTATATGTTTTTTCCTATATAATGTATCTGGTCTAATCCTCTGCTGTGTGACTGTGCTGGAGGCACGGGTCCCGTAGTCAAGATTGTTGTACTCTGAAAATTTGTTAACACGGTATCCAATTAGCATGATTTACGTCAACCCCATGAAAAGATAAACACAAGTCGTGAAATTGTCTTAAAAAGTAAATATTTAACTTAATCAATATCTTTTCATATAATATATTTTTAGAAACATATAATTATAGTTTTCTAATATAATCCTTCAAAAAAAGCCATTAACAAATCTAATTTTTTTGTTTAACTTGAAAAAGTGATATAATTTTTA